TCTAAAAGGTACATTCCTATTAGGAATTGGAATGTGGATTATGCTCCTTATAAATATATAGGAGATCATCCCAACCCTTTTGATGACTAGAACTTTCGGCCATAACATAATTTTAAGAGAGAAAAATTTGTTTTGTTCTCTTAATACTTTACACCAAATATTTTATATTTTAGAACTATTCTAGAGAAAAATTACTAGCATAATTTTCTCTAGAACGCTCTTCATTGTTCGTGTGTCTCAACTGGAGGTCATATACTTTTGTGGCTAGCTCTTGGATCAATCCATCAACCTACACATATCGTTGCTTGCTCGCCAAGAAAGGTATATTTCCCAACAATAACTTATAATAATCATAAGAGGTCTTGGGTGGATCTACGTTTGGGCAATAAATTTTTTTGTTTTCCGCTGCCGTATCCAAGCGTAGAACCCAACAGTGGTATCGGAGCCGACTTATGAGAATTATAAGTTTTGTAGATCTAATTGCCGCTAGAGTTTTTGATAACTGATAAATAAAATGTATGTGTATATATTTTTGAAAATTATCCAAAATTCAAGAAAGTTCCAAAATATTTTTGGATTTATTTTTATTTTCAGGTTAATTGGTTAAAAACTATTTTAACCAATTAAAATATTTCTAAAATTCGAAAATTAAATTTTATTAAATATGAGACTTTAAAATATGATTTAAAGACCTCTGGATATTTTCAGATTGTACATGAGTCAAAAACGTTATTTTTGGAAAATATTTATTTTTGAAATATTTGGAATATTCAAAATTAATTTTGGAAACTAATTTAACTCCTTTTGGAAACAAATTCCAAAATACTGAAAATAAAATTTATTTAATTCTGGAAATTTGATTTTCAGAACAATACGGACCCAAAGTAAATATATCTAAAAAATAATAATTTTTGGAAACTCGGAATTAATTTTTGGATAATAGAAGTCCAATTTTGGGTATTTGAATAAATAATTTCGAAAATAAATTTTATAAATTCTGGAAATTTGATTTTCAGAGTTATTAAATCAGAATACACATTCTGGAATTTATTTATTAATTTTCAAAAGGTATAAGTATTTATTTCGAATTAAAATCCCAATTTCGAAATTAATACCTATATTTACGGCAATTAACTATTTTAAAATTCAGGAAAATTAAAAATTAAATTTTGGATATTCTGTAGTTTTAAATTAAATTTAAATAAAATTATTTGATAATTTTTAGGCTTGTAGTTTATTTTTCTTAGAATAAACTAGGTCTAGGCGAGCGCGGCTTGCCCAGTGTATGGTTTTTATGCATGTGATGTATGAATGTATGCATGGTGCGTGGTTGTGGCTTCGAATCATTAGTTTTTAAATACGGCCTGCGTGTCGTGCCTCATCTCTGAATTCTGGTTGTAAATCTCTTGGTAAACCTCATACCCCTTGCTTACAAAGCAAGGATTCTTTTCTCTCGATTAAACAAAGAAGTCCATGAAGAAGCAAAGAAGATGATGGAGCCAAGAAGAAGAGGACACTTAGAAGTAAGGGTTGAACTTGAAGACTAAAGCAGTCTTAAAGAAAGAGGGTGAAGCTGGAGATAGAGATCTCAAGTGAAGGCTTTATTGTTAGTTCTTTAGGAGGCCACAACCATGTCATGTTTTATTCATTATACATGTTTGTATATATGTTTGTATGATATTCGCTAGTGTATGTGCGCGGCACATGCCATAGGTGAAATCACGTTTAAAATCCCTTATAATATTAAGTTTGTGCCTTCCGACGCTGACTCACTCGTTGATACTAGTTTCGACCAGTCAACACACACGCCAAAGCGGGACGCCTGGTTTACATTGGTATGACGCGAAATCCGTAACAATGGATACTGAGCACGCCCCGGGTTGAACTTAACTAAGTTAAGGTAAAAAGATGAATAACTTAGAGGCACATGGTTAGGTTAATAAATAAAATCAAATTCATCTAACCTAGAGTTGTAAAATGTTACAATTGGAAATAGTTCCTACCTAAAATAGTTAAACTATAGGGAAAGATGCAAAGCACAACTATAGTTGGATGAAATAAGGATCTAGGCCCAATATAGGATCTTATTTAGAACAACCTAACAAACCAAGGATTGTAATTGGATCACAATTGGAAATAAGTTCCTACCTAATTAGTTTAACTATAAGGCAAGATACAAAGCAGAACTATAGTTAAATGTAATATGGACCTTGGCCCACTAAGATATCTCTTTAGGAGAAGCCTCGAATCAACAGGTTATGTACTTGAGGGTAGTTGATTTGTTAAAATAGTGGGAGAGTTATTAGTTAAAGACCTAGCTAATTACTTAGATTCTTGATATTAACTATCTTGCAAATTATATGTAGATGTCTAATAACAACCATAACCTCACTCTTCGCTCGATCCTCGACAAAGATAAGTTGACCGGCTCTAACTTCTTAGACTGACAAAGAAACCTCGTTATCGTTCTTTGACTTGAGAAGAAAGAATATGTGCTCGAACGAGCCATCCCACCTGTCCCGGCCGCCAATGCTTCTAGAGCAATCAAGGATACTTATGAGGAGCATGTTGATGATGACAATGAGGTGGCATGTCTCATGTTTGCTACGATTACTTCTGACTTTCAGAAACTTCTTGTAACGCCCCAAAATATACCCTAGAATTATTAATGAATAATTATTCAATTAATCAGATTTGTTTTGATTAAAATAAACTGTTGTTGGGCTTTGAGCCGAAATAAAACATATATTGATATCCAATATCACAATCTGGATAAATCTCATAGAGATAAATCCAATATGTTGACTTACTGTATGATCTTAATTTTGGGAACCAGAGTATAGACCCAAATTAGGGATTTGTTTATAATGTGAACTTTGAAATGATTTATTGAAATAAATCATGAAAATAAATAATATGAATTAAATATATGAATTTTATTGAACAAAGGTCAATTAAATGAATTTTGACTCTGTCAAAGTCAACCACCCAAAAATATGATGTCGGAAAAAGTATTACAAATAAATATAAAAATTATATCGTTGGATAGAGTTTAATTGTACAATCGCAACGGTGCAAACGGATTTCAATTCGGAAAAGTTGGACCAAAAAGTGTTTCCCGACTAGGACCAAATTAGTCCCAATCAGGGACTTACGTTTAAAATCTGTAGGAACCGCAGCCCCCTCCACTGAGAAGCCGAAACAGGAACGGATACATCATCACCTTGGCCTCTTCCTCCATTGTTTTACTATATAAGAAACCCAACTTCACCACTTCTTCACCATTCTTCATCAAATTCATTATGAGAGATAGCCTTGAGTGTGGAGAACGCAGTGGTGTTATCAATTTGGTGTGAGGTCGCCGGAGTTAAGAGCTATTGTCGCTGGAAGTTTCGCCGGAAAATCTTCAAAACCTCCATTAAGCTTCGAGGTAAGCCCGTATATATATCTAATGACTAGAATGTTCGTATAGATCGTTTCTACGTTCATAAACGCTCATTTGGTTGAGTTTTGTGTTTGGCATGCTTGAAGAACCAAGAATCATAAACCATGAAATTGATGTTAAAACTATGAATTAATGATGCCAAAATGATCTATGAACCTTGGAGAACATCTCTATATAGTTTCGTTGAAGTTCGATAACTAAAAATGGTATTTTCGAAAAATGGACTGAAGGTTGAAGAAGATGGACAGTGCTCAAAAATGTGCAGAGAGGATCGATCATACCTCTTGGATCGATCCCCTGGGCATAATTTTTCTATCAATGATCGATCAAATGCACTGGATCGATCCCCCGAATTTCTGATCCGAAAATTTGTCTGAAAATGTTATTTTTGAGCTCTAAAATCCTATTTTTGATACCAATTGATTATGATCATTATAAAAATGATTTTTCACATTAAAAGTGATATTTTTAACAAATAAAATGTTATGTGATGCATGACGGTAAATTAGGGTGTTAACACCCGAAGCTAGGCCGCTAATTGTTATTGAATGTTATGTTGATTGATGATTATGGTAATGACTATTGATTGATAATTATGATGATTAAATCTTGATAAATATTCTGATTAAAAATGATAATTTTGAATGATTAAATCATAATGAATATATTGATGATTGTGAAAATAATATATTGTTAAGGGTATCTAGAAGACCTCTAAGATATACCCATATTAATGTTGATTTGAAAGGTATCTAGAAGACCTCTAAGATATACCTATTTAAGTTAGACCTTGCGGGTATGAACCCCGGTGGCTAGGATTAAAACGTACGTACGGGATCCAAGAACCAAACTTGAGTACCTACTCGTTTGGGGGTACCACCTACCCAACAGTGAACACTACGCTGTCGGTTTTTGGTTGGCCTTAAGTGAAGGTAAGTTTAAGATTTTCAAAACGCTTTTATCTTAAACTAGGCCTAGCTTAAGCATTATTTAGGAATATTTTATACTGGAATATTGTAACACCCTAATCCGTCCAGGTCTGCAGTCCCATTCGGACTAAAGTATTTAACTTGGTAATCGTAAAAATTTAAAACTTTTCAAACGCACTTTATTAATCTCAATAATATTTTTCATAACATATCCAGTACGGAGTATTCAACAATATTGCGGAAGCGATTTTAATATTGACATATCATAAATTGTTTCAAAACTTGTCACATCCATCCCGACAATCTCGTCCCATCTGCCGCCAGGATCACATTGTGCTTTCTGCTTACTTGCGTGTAGCAAATAAAACATACTACACGCTCAGCGGTAAAGCTGAGAAAGCATATCTAATGCGTCGAACATCCATATAAACTGAATCTAAATTCATAATCAAATCATTTGATATCATGCACACAATGTTCATTTCAGACATTCACAGTTTTGATAATGTTCAGTTCATATCAACACATTTTATTCAATTCAAATATTATTCTGACAGTGCCCTTAAAATATTCTTAAATCTAAGGCCAAATAATAACAATGCTCTTAGCTATTCTTAGTCTAAGGC